GAACTTTCCCTGAATGGTAGTATTTGACCCTCCGAGCTACTTTAAAGTCGATTTTTTGAATTTGTCAAAGGAGAATTTACTCTAAAAAATATTTTTTTTAAGTTCATCCAAGTCGCCTCTAAGGGTGAAAGAAAATAAAAAAAAAAGTCTAATGTGTAACCAACGCAAACGTCTCTGCAGTTAAACTAAACATACCTATCTACGTAAACTGAAATGAAATTAGTAAGAGATTAGTTAGATTAATATATATTAATTTTAAAATTTAGAAAAAATTCTCTTTTTTCTTGCAGGAAATGGACACTGATCACGGAGGAAGGAGACGGCACGGCAACGGCAACTCGACAACCGGTTTCAAGGATTTCGCGAACAGACTGCCAGCTTTTGACAGAGGATTACTGAAGCAATGTGAATCGTTCCATTTTGTTAACTTCCCTGAGGATTGGGGGGCGAAGCAGTTGTTTTACTTCATCAGAACGACTGTAAAAGCAGGTAGACTCTGGGACATTTTCATTCCCAGCAAGAGAGACAGAAGAGGCAACAGGTACGGTTTTGCCAGATTTTTAGACGCGAGGAATGAGCAGGAGATGAAGAAGCAACTGGGAAATATATGGATTGGTAACCAAAGGGTGATTTTCAACTCGGCTGTGGAAAGAAGAAAGGAGAAGAGAAGTATGGAAGCAAAACCAGTAGAGGAAGCAAATTGGAAAAGTACCAAGAGGACAATCACTGCTGAAGACAAGAATACAGTGGAAGAAGGGAGTAGGAAGATTCCAAGAATGACATATGCGCAATGCCTTCTCCAGCAGAAAGAAATGGCAAACTCCACTGAATCAGGAAACAAAGATCCAACACCGTCAGAGTCAAAAGAATTTCCAAGGAGGTCTAACAAAGGAACGCCCAAGACTCCCAGTGTGAGTCGGCCTGTGTACAAAAAGGTGATTGAGCTAAAGGACACAGATAAAGCTGAAGATAAACTGATGAAGTGTGCAGTTGGGGTGGTGTTAACCCCATCTATCATCCCAAACCTCCCAGAAATCTTCTTTAATGAAGGTTTCCCTTCAATCAAAATTGCCCCTATGGGAGGTAACCTTGTTTTAATCGATGATGAGGATCCAGAGCATGTTAAGGAACTGGTAGATGGGAACTTACAGTGGGTGGCAGCTTATTTTGATAGAATTAAGTACTGGGCTCCATCAGACATCGCAGAAGAAAGATTTGTGTGGGTGAGAATCCAGGGGTTACCTATACATGCTTGGTCTGAAGAAAGTTTATCAACGATCGGTAACCATGTGGGTAAACTAGTTTCAATTGATGAGTATACACTCTCTAAGGAATGCCTGGATGCAGCAAGAATGTTAGTCTCCACCAAGTCCAAATTGGCGATAAATGAAGACTTCATCCTCAAAGTGAAGAATAATAGCTTTCACATTGCTGTAGTGGAGGAAAATTGGAGGACTGATCCATGGTGGCTGAAGAAATCTGCCAGCTCAATCGTTGAGTCAGAAGTGAGTTCAACGGCGTTCAACTTCAGTGAAGAGTCCGGCGACTTTGACGATGACAGCATGAACGGGTTAGAGCAAGACGAATTTCAAACACTTACCCATAGAGTCAATGGCATTAATTGTTCTGACACAGTGCGCGGCTCAAAGAAGTCTGCTGAAATGGGCAAGTTTTGCAACGGCACTCTATCAAATCAAGAGTGTGGGGAACAGAGAGAGGAGCGGGAAAGCAGGGGAACAAATCGAAAGCTTAACAGGTTGTGTACAGACCTGGATTCTGAAGTGCAAGTCATCCAAGAAATGGCCCAAATTGGAAGCCCAGAAGACAGCAAAAATGAAGCCCAGTTGGTTAAGAATAAAACAAAAAGGGGTGAGCAGGTGCAAGGTGGGCTCCAAGCGGACAAAAGCCCTAATAAGAGCCCTTCTCTACCGCCTGAAACGAGGGCTGAATTAACAAAGCTGATAACTGGTACAAAGCGTGGAAGGAGGAGAAAAGCAACCATCCAGCCGGTCAACTTCGGTGGTGAATCCCCAATTGGATCTCTATCGGACAGCGACATCTTATACAACAATAGAAGAATCAAAGAAGGCATGATTGCAGAGGAAGCGAAGAAGGTGCTGGATTTCGGGAGCAAGCTAGGAATTCAGACCAAAAATCAAGATGAGCAGATCTTAGAAAGGTTCAGGCGAATGGAAGAGAGGGACATGCAGGGGTATGTTCGTGAGCCACTAAGGTAGGCTTTTCTGTTAATTGTTTCAGAAACCTTTATAAATGAAGCTGCTTTCTTACAACGTGAGGGGGTTCGGCAGTGTGGTTAAAAGAAAAGTGGTGAGAAATATGGTGAGGAAAGAGGAAATTAA